TTTTGCCTAGAAGCTTCTTTGGTTGTGAACTTTGGTTTTCTGATTTATCTCTTATTGAAACTATATATCACTTATTTGCAAAGCTCATTCAAAGTTTTCCCCGTCGCACACGATCAGATATCGCTCTCAGTTAGGCCTTACCTCAATACACCTCGAGGTTAAGTTAGCCAAACCTCCCTTTTTGACTGCTTTATATATAGACTAGATACACGATTTACTGTAAAGATGTTTTTTATGTTTCGTCTTTTTCACACATATTTTGGATTTTTTCAAGGTCGAAAAGGTTTTGTTTCAGATGTTTGGAATTTTGACCTTCGTACAACAAGGATGTTTTCCTCCGAAATAATCATGTACACCTCTAACGAAGGGTGTTCTAATTCGTAATTACACTTATGAGCAGAGACTTTTCTAGATTTATGTATATGCAATATAATATCTGTCCTTCGACTATTTGGTTTTTATCTACACGTTTTCCCTACTTTTGTAGAACATGCGCTAATGTTGCAAAGCTTTGGATTATTGCTCCAGATTGTGAATCAGCATGTGCTTGTAGCCGATGCAGTTGCACATTGTATCTTGGACTGCTCTGGCGAAGAAGTGTTAGCTTTACGCGATAACATCTTCTCCAAAATTGTCAACGACTACCCTGTCCATGCTTACGTTGCACTGGACCAGGCGAGTCGGGATATTCAAATAGCAACGTTTTTTGATCTTTTCGAAATATTTTTTGAGAAGTCGACGATCTTTTCTTGTCTTTTGTACGAGACTGTTGCATTCTTGCAGAGAAAGCTTCTGCTCTTACCTTCCAATAATACATGAGTTCCTGTAAATAACCTTTTTGCATTATACTAGTTGAAGGCTATGCAATCGTTGAATGTAAGTTTGCATCATGCAATCAACTTATTTTTTCAGTCATTATACTTTATTTTGTAACTGTATTAAATTTCTCATATCTATTGTTGATTTAAAATATGTATTACATATAACTCTTTATGTTTGGAGGAATAAAGATATGAATGAAGAGGAATGCAACAGAAGTGTTACTATCATTTTTCAAAATACATCAACAGCATAATTTTAGTAACATATCTGCTTAAATATTTCTACGAGTGTAAATATAATTTATACTTATTATTTCTGCCAGTCTGAGGGAGACATAAAACCAAAGCCGGTCGATATGACTGATGGCGATGATGATTTCCCACCATTTGATGTTGTGCGTGTAAGTTGCCTTTCTATTGCCTTCTCTTCCAATTTTAGATCTAAAGATGATATGTCGTCGTAGAATAACAATAAATCTATTGAACTCGTCGATTTTGAATAAACACCACAACCTGAAATCTACAAGACTACATTTTAAGATTGTGAACTTTCCCCTTTCTGAAGAAAAAAATCAAACCATGATTTGTGCACTATGCGCGAAAGATGAAATGCTGGGCGATTTAAGCTTGCGCACATCTTTGCGCACGTTGGACAAACTGTGTGAGATGGCAATCATGGATGATATAAATAGAGGAATGGTTTTATCAATAGATACTATTTCGTTTGAAAACACTATAATCTTGATTAAAAGGGACGTTGACATATTTATATCAAGCTAGATCTGTTGGTCTATTTGTATTTAAATTCAGTTAAAAATGTCAAATTNATATATCACAACTGATTCGAAACTCATGGAGTGGATCCGAATATAAGAATACAGTGTAAGATATCGCATACTGAAGGAAAAAAAAAACAACCAAGTTTTCTAGGGATTTGTGCACTATGCACGAAAGATGAAATACTGAGCGATTTAAGTGTGCGCACATCTTTGCGCACAATGGTCAAACTGGGTGCGATGGCAATCATGGATGAAATAAATAGAGGAATGGTTTTATCAATAGATACTATTTCGTTTGAAAACACTATAATCTTGATTAAAAGGTACGTTGAAATATTTAAATCAAGCTAGATCTGTTGGTCTATTTGTATCTAAATTCAGTAAAAGATGTCAAATTTATAATTAATGGAACAGGAAGTATTGTATTTTTACATGGGGGGTTTCTCGTCGACCGATGCACTTTCGGAACTTTCCGAGATGAGCAAATGCCGCAGTTGACTTTCTGAGAGAGAAACAAAATAGATCGAAACAAACGAAATAAAATAAACAGGCCAATCAACCTTATGTTATCACACTAATTGTTACCTAAACAAAGTCATTTTTCACATATTTAATACCGTACATGTGTAATACGCATTGAAAATTGGATAGAGCAAAATATACTTACCGAAATCTACACATCTAACATGTTCCTTATTGATAGAATTCAGAATTTTATCAATCCGTAAAACTAATGAACCAATTGCACTAAATCGCACATACATGTATGTGCGGACATATGCGCACACAGGGAGAACGATTACTAAATCGCACGGTTGTGCATACCCATCGTGTTATACGAACGATTTGTGCACTATATGCAAAAAAAAGTTTGTGTATTGTGCAGTTACACAATCATATCTGATACGATATGAATATCGGTACTTTTCAAATATCGATTTGTGTTCAATGTGATTGGAAAGAAAATGCATTGTTACTTTTTGGTAATGCAACATGATTTGGATTTAAATTTCATTTATTTTGCTGGTGTCGTCGATCAAGCAGGAGACGCTAAATCAGTTTTAGTGATGAATGTCCTGTTTTACTGTTAATTTATCAGGATTCCTGCAATTTGATCTCCAATATCATCAACCCATATGTGTACATTATGTTAAAGATGTAATTATTTTGTCTGAAGTGTAAGAACTGTTATGGCATCGGTAAGAAAATCAATTTTAATCTCTTTAAATATCTGTAAAATTTGATAGATAAGTGCATGTTTATGCAACAGAATTGTTATTCTCATTTTGAAAAACATATCAACAGCACAATTTACTAACATATGTCTACTTAAATACGAGTGTTGACATAATTTATACTTATTATTTCTGTCAGATTCCGGTAAGAGAACTGCTGAAGAGTGCACCTGAAGCTTCCCTACAGAAATACCCAAATCAACCAAAGAATCCCAAGTAAAGTGTGAGTTGCCTTTTTATTACCTTCTCTCCCTATTTTAGATTTACAGATGATATTTCGTTGTAGAATAACAAGACATATATTGAACTCGTCGATTTTATATAACCACCACAACCTGAAATCTACAAGACTACATTTTAAGATTGTGAACTTTTCCCCCTTTGATAAAAGTATCCCTGCTTTCCATACCTGTACTTTGTATATGTCGCAGCTAATTCGAAACTCACGGAGTGGATCCGAAAAGAAGAATCCAGTGTAAGATATCGCATACTGAAGGAAAAGATCAAACCAAGTTTTCTAGGGCCCTCTTTGCACTCTGCGCGAAAGATGAAATACTGGCAATTTAAGTTAACGTACATCTTTGCGCACGATAGACAAACTGGGTGCGATGGCAATCATCGATGATATAAATAGAGGAATTGTTTTAACAATAGATAGTATTTGTTTTGAAAACACTTTAATCTTGATTAAAAGGTACTTTAACATATATAAATCAAGCTAGATCTGTTGGTCCATTTGTATTTTAATTCAGTTAAAAATGTCAAATTTATTATTAATGGAAATTGTTTAAAACAAGAAATATTTCATTTTTAAATGGGGCGTTTCTCGTCGACCAGTGCACTTTCGTAACTTTCCGAGATATACGAATGTTGCAGTTGACTTTCTAAGAGAGAAACAAAATAGATCGAAACAAACGAAATACAAAATCTTTCAAATAATTCTGATATATCAATCGCGGGTGTAATTCTTTATCAAATAAAATGTCGCAATGTATATTGTGTAAATCAACGTTATGCGGCCAATGCTAGTACCTATAGCATCATGGAATAGTCGAGTACTTACACCAATAGGTAAACTATCAGTTATTAAAACACTACTTATATCACAGTTAAATCATGTATTTATAGCACTACCAAATTCTGATGAAACATATATAACAGAATGAATAGTATTCTGTATGAGGTTTTGTAGAATGGTTAACCAGATAAAATAAAGAGAGATGTGATAATTAAAATTTATGGAGAGGGTGGTCTGAAAATGATACATTTAAAATATTGTAAACAGCTTTTAAAGCAACATGGATAAGACGGGTATATAAAGAAGAAGGAAATTGGGCTCTTATTTTAGAAACCATTTTTTATAAAGAAACATTAGCTAACTTTGGACTTGAAAAATTGAAAGAAGAATCAAAACATTGTGGTAACCTCTTTTGAAAAGATGTCTTAGAAGCATGGTACAATACTATTATCTCTAGCAATATATACAACACTAATATACGTGCAAACATTAGGTGGTTCAATAGAGAAATTAAAATTGATAGAAAATTTACATTAAAAAATTCATGGTTCAAAAAGGGAGTACAATTTGTATATAACATTATTAAACAGGATGGATCACTCTACCATTTTGAAAAATTTCAAGAAAAATATAACATAAATTCTAATTTTTAGACATACCAAGGCCTAAAGAATGCTGTGTATCTTTTATAAGAAAAAATCATCACATTTTTACTTCAGAAAAAGCAGTTATTTTGCCAAATATACCAATCAATCTGAAGTTAATACTTAGAAATAGTAAAGGAGCACAAAACATATATTCAATATTAATTAAAAATAATGTTAAACCTACTGCTCAAAGAAAATGGATCTTAAATGATAATATTGATGAAGAAACATGGAAAAATAAATAGATGAATGTCCTTTTAAAACCACAACCAATTTCAAACTACAGTGGCTACAGGACAGAAAAAAACACATAATCCTCACTACAAACACATGTTTATTAAAATTGGCAAATCACACAATAACCTTTCTGTAAAATTCACCCTAAAACAATCATTCATATGCTATGGAATTGCGAAAAAGTTGATTGATGAGCTGAAAACAAATATTATAACTAAAACCCTTACACTAAGATTTGATAAACAAGATTTCATTTTTGGTAAACATACACAGTTTTATATAGAAAACATCATAATACTACATATAAAACAATACATATATAAAACTAAATGCATAGAAATAGACAATAATCTGACTAGTCTCAAAAACCATATAAGATTTGAATTAATAGCACAATAGATTCTAAACAGAATCAATTAATAAATAAGGATGAGTTAAACCATCAAATAGATAACTGGATGCAGTTATAATATGACATAATATGACATATTTGTTCTATACATATATACATCTATTGTTCTTTATCGGCTCCTTAATGTAATAATAATCATCAAATTTTTCATAGATTTTAACTCGCCAGGCTTAAGTTCAAATAAAATTACCTAGAATTGCTCCCCGATTCCCTGTAATGTTTTGTGGGTTTTTTTCTGTTTCAGTTTATTTGGTTTTGCTCTTGTGTGTTTGATGTCATGGGTTTATATAAACTGTTGGCATCAGTGTCTCAATGTATATGTCGTTATGTATGTACATGACATTGGCAATTTTTAATATCTGCTTATGATATCAGACGAAAATGATAAATAGGATAATGATGGATGATGAAAATGATGATGATGATGTTAAGAATAACGTCAGGATGATGGTGATTGTGATGGTGATGACATGATGATAATGATGTTAATGAGGTTAATTAAAAATTAAAATGTATGAACAATCATGTACTAAGCAATCATGTACTCATGAACAATGTCATATATGTTTTGTCTTGTCTTAAAAACATTAATTGTAATTGTTTTAGTGAAAATTGCTTAATTATGATTATTTTTACATTACAGGACAACTAATGCTGAAATAGATTGTTTAACAGCCACTGAATGCTGTCCGTGTGCCCGCTCGGGATGGCTTTTGAGAACTTTTTAAAACCAAGACATCAATCATGTCGAACAAACATGCTCGCGTTAAATCGCAAATAAAAACTTTAGCATTAGTGTGTAATTTTGTTATTGAATTAATATTTCGCACACACATATACATTATACTGATCTATTAATTTATAGCATATGTTATTGTTATCTGTTGATTATATATTTTTAACATATTACGAAGCCAAAATATTCTGCATAAAATTGTAATATTATGCAAAAATCCAAAACATTTAACAAAGTAAAATTATTATCAAATCAAAGCAGTCCAAGATGTAAAAACATCTATACCAAACCAAAACATTATACAATGTATTGACACATTAAAACATTCCACAATATG